GGGCAGGGGGAGGGGGGAGGGGGCGGTATATACATACATAGTGAGTGACATTGTGCACCATCTGGATCCCTAGAGGCAGTGTGCAAAATAATAGAATATACACAAATACTACTAGACATCTCAGCATTTCCAAATACTCATTTATTGAGTAGGGTGATGCGAATATAGTATGTGCATTTCAGGAAATATTTTATAGGCATTTAAATGAAAATGATTGTAGTAGATTATGCCCACTTATATAGGATCTGTATTCCCTAGCATTCCCTTGTCTGCACAGTTCTGAGTTAGGAGTGCCAGAAAAGGACATTATGCATGATATTTGGAAGGCAAAGTATAGCGAAGGCAGGCATTTTCTTTTATAAGGTGAAGGGCATCAGACACAGAGCAGCAGCTTCATACAGACTGTTTATTCACTCAATTGGATAAAATCAAGACCTTATAATAAATACCTTCTTATTATATCTATTAAGAATATATACAATATATAATATGGTTGAACCATATAAAGAACAATATATGTGTGCGTATGTATATGTGTGTATAAATATGTATGCTTTTTTTTCTCTGATTGAGCCCTGACTGCTACAGTGATGTTTATACAGCCTGTATGGTAACGTTGAAAAAGAATTATGGCATAATATTAAGATTAAAAAGTCAGTATGCAAAATTTGTGTAAATTTTAATTACAGTAGTTTAAACATAAATGGATTTAAAATTCACCAAAATATTAACTGTGATTTTATTTGGATAAGTGGGACAATGTGTGAATTTTTGTCTGCTTTATACCCTTCAGTGTTTTCAACTTCTAAAAAATGAGCATACATTAATTTTATTATCTAAATCAGCAACAAAATATAAACTTGTTTTTGTCAAAATAAATCTTCAGAGCAGAGAAAAAACAGTCACCTAACCAAGTGCTTCTAAGTCCTCTTAATGCAGATAAATGCATCCTTGGGGGCTTTCTAAATGCTGATATTAAAAAACACAGGAGTAGAAAGGATTGTAAACAATTAGAACTACATTTTCAATATGCTCTGCTAAGACTCAGCCACAAGCTTCATGAATGCTAATTTGAAAAACTGGGTCATATTCCCTAACACAACTTGATATCTTTTCCTGTGGAAGAAGTACAGATTTAAAAGACTTTTAGGCAAATTTATTAAAACTCTATGTTAAAAATATAAATTAGAGCTCCTTTAAATACATACACAACTATCTTATGTCATATACCCACAAACACATGCAGATTCAAAAAATTCCTATTTCCAGTACCTAATTCCAAATTTTGAATAAATATAATAACCACTTATGTATGTTTCAACTGAAAGGTATCTATATTTAAATAATTTTTTATCTTTAAAATAGATATCTTATTTAAATAATAATCATAGTCTTTGTAATCCTTCATATTTTTCTAACAAGTCATTGTTTACAAAGAACTTCTATGAGGCCATGAGAAAGACATTTTTGTTTTTCAATTGTTGAAGACATCAAGGCCCAAAGAGATTAAGAAATGAGATTAGGGTTCTCATCATACTTTACTGTCACCAATATTGACTTGATAAAGCATCATTGCCTGATAATTTTTAAAAATAATAGAAGTCTCTTTGAAACCTTAAAAATTAGAGTAGGAATTTAGAAACACCCATTAACATTCAAATATCATGCAACATAGTAGCTTTCTTCTATTCGACAAATATATTCTTATAGTAATATAATACATAGGCATAAATTATTCAACATTAATGACACAAGAATATGAATTTAAGTCTTTTCACATCAAATAAATTATACATTAGTATCCTTATAGAATAGACCATAAATATAAATAACTTTCTATCAGATTATGTCTATGTAATACAAAAATGATTTAACTATATTTTGTCAAAGAATTATATTTTCAAGTAGGCATTAGTATATTACACTAAGTACATTCTAGTGAAAGAGTTTGGGAGTGTTCTTTGTAGTGAATGACCTGGATACCTTTGTATGAGTAAGATAAATCAACAACACAGTGTGTCCATTTTTTCAATTCAGTCATCTGGTGCACAGGTCATCCCATGGGCCAAATCAAGCCTACTGCCTATTTTTGTATGATAGATGAACTAAGAATTTTTTTTTCATTTTCAAGTGGTTAAAATAAATTTAAAGAATATTTCATAATACATAAAAATTATATTCTGTTCAAATTTCAATACCCATTAACATACCCATAAAAATTAATAGTTTTATGGGTCCACAACCCTGCTTGTTTGTAAATTATTGTCCCTCACAGAAACAACATAGGACATGATAATAGCTAAGTCACAGGATTCTGCTATAGATAAGTGACTAATTTAAACTAGACATAAATCACCATATATTTCTGATAAAATCAAAAGATACTTTGTTCCACTGCAAAAAAAAAAAGTTCCAAAAGACTTTTGTTCATATGCACAGTAGGAAACATACTAATTCACATATATATTACTTAAAAGGTTTATCTTGAGGACAAAATGATAGATTTTCAATGTGAAGCTTAATTGGATCCACCAGGCTTCCTATCCGTTTCAAAGATTTGAAAATCTTTCTTTTTTTATAGGTTAAAAGTGACATGATATCTCTCCCTACTCAGCTTGTGATGTAGATAAGATTGAGAAGATGACACATTCTGCAGGTCTTTATGTAAAGTTACACCAAAGAGAAAGAAAGAGAAACAAAGACAAAAAAAATTTAAATTCTTTTTTTTCCTTTTTTTTATTACTTCATATTATGGGAGTACAGATATTGTTAGGGTTACATATCTTGCCCCTTCTCCCCTCCCCCACCTCGCTATGCCAGAGCTTCTAGCGTGTCCAGCCTCCAGGTGGTGCGCACCGAACTCACCGCGTAAGTACATACCCTTCCCCCCCTCCCCCCTTCCACCTGCCCACTTCCTGATTACAGATTTTTTCTTTCAGACAAAAAAATTTAGATTCAATGATAAGAAAATTACCCCTTTCGTAAGGGCAAAGTGGCCGGAAAACAACTGAGTGCTTGGAACTGTGGTCAGGATCACTGGTATCACTCAATCTTAGTGATACCAGTTTGAAATTGTATCACTACTAAGCTGAAGTAAAATGTTAAATGTGAGGAGCTCCTTTGTCTCTTACACTAACACTTATTTATTTATAATTCATTGCTATAGCTGTTGTGTTATAAGGTTCCCCCATATCACTGCTTTGCAGAAGGTTCCAGTCCAACAATGACAAGTGGTTCAAAATCTTATGTATGCACCTGGATTTCATTAAAAATGATTTTGCAATTTGTAACCCTTACTAGAAGCAGAGGAAGATTAAAGCAAAGATTTAAGGAAATGGGCATTTTGAGTCTGTAGTTTCTTTGTCAATCTAAACTTCATTAATAATAAGCAATGTAATTGTGCTTGTACTGACACTTTTATTTCCAGTTTAAGATTTACTTAAATTTTTAAATGATGGTAAATGCCTTTATTGGTGATTGCCAGCCCATCACATTTATGCTTTTTAAAAGCAGCACAGCAGTAAATTGTGATTTACTTTGATTTTTTTTTGGCTATCGGTAGGCAGATTTTTAAGCAGTTTTTAAATGTGTTAAGGTTCACAATAAATGCTAATATTTGTGCATGCTTACTAATACCATGCACTGTCAAGTACTTAGTTTTCATTATCTCATTTATAACTTAAACAACCTTATAATCTAGGTACCATTATTATTCTTATTTTACACATGAGAAAACAGAGCCTCACAGAGGCTAGTTGTGTTTAATACTCTAATATGTATTAGAGGTAAAGTAATTAATAGGTATTAAAGTCAAGATTGGAATATGTGCTTGCCTGACAACCAAAATTGTGCTCTTATTCACTGTTATGGTACCCTGCTTCCCCTGCATGGAGATAAGCAGGTTAGAAAAAATTGTTTGCATAGATTTTTTTCTACTATTTGTCTTTATATTAATAGACAGCAGCATTAGTTACAATTAGTTACAGCATTAGTTACATCCCACCCTGGCAGGGTGGGATGATTTTGTGAAAAGAACAAGGACTTTGGAATGAGGCTCACCTTGGTTTGATCGTATAATCCTCAGCCTTAGCCTGTGCTGTAAATAATACTTGCCCCCTGTAATGCCTATCCATAAAATAGAGGAGATAGTAACTACCATGACAGTCTTTGTGTTAAATAATGTATACATAGTAGCTAGCACAAAATAGGCACAAAGTAACTATTTTTCCTCCTGCTTATATTTTTCAACTGTGCATAAGTTTCTGCAGCAAGACTGAACTTATGTCACAATCATCCCTAAATATGAGCAACCCATGTCCTACCTTAAATTCTGGCATAGAGTTTTTAGTATTTATCACAGGTTCATTAAATACCATAGTAAAATTAAAATTGATTAAAAAAAAAAACATAGCCAAGGCATTGACCTAAAATAGTTTGAAGTGGTTAATCACAGCCCAACTCTTCTGGATGTTTATTATAAACGACAGTAACAATTCTGGCAAAGGGAAACCATGAGGGAAAGAAACTGAGTGCAAGGACCTAAGGGCAGGATGTTCTGCCAGACAATACACAGGGGAGTATAAGAGAGGAAAAAGAGTGAGTCGATGCGATCCTCAAAGAACTGCTCAGAATCAGCCCAGGGAAGCTGGGCTGATATCTCTCCCACGCATTTCTGATGTTGATCCATCTCTTTGTCCTGTATTTATGTGTTGCTTTCCTGGATTGGAGAGAGATGATTCTCTAAGAATATTCCAGTGACTTCTAATACTCTATGGGTGTCTGCACTCAAAAAGAAAAAAACAAAATCTAAAATAATTCACATCAAGTTCATAATGGTACTTAACTATTTCACTGTTAAGTTTAATATTAGATCTGGGCAATATTGAGATTTTCAACATAAGAAACAAACAGTAGTGTTGGATTGATTGGTTTTGTAGTGATTATTCACAATGCTAAGAAAATATGATTATACAAAAGCATAATGCTAACATCAAAATATAGGTGTCCACATTAATTTCTTTTTAAAGATTTAAAATGATTCAGAATATTCTGGTTAATATTGACAATTTTCTAGCCACATAATATGTCCCAAACCAAGTAAATAATTAGATTTCTGTTAACATTTTTCATGGTGAGAGAAGCTTAAATTTTCTAAGAAATAAAGTCAATATTACTTATTAAAAATGGTTGAATTTTCTCAAATCTTCTTAGTTTTATATAGAAATCCTTAGCTTAGATTAAAACTATTTTCTCTAAGAAACTTAAAACAAGTTTAAAAGAGAGAAGGGGAAAATATATTCTAACTTTCATATATACACAAATAAAGTATACACATATACAGATATATATGATGAATGGCAAAAATACATTCCAAATTATATGTATGTATTGTAGGTAGAAAAACACATATATTTTATACATATTTATTAATATATTCATGAATATATGTGGATGTGTGCAAAGTTTTCTGATTTGAAGAACTTATAAAATTATAAATATTCTTAGAGAAAGAGTCATTTGTTAACTAAAATTATAAAGCATGTTAGCTTTATGATTACTTTTTATATTTAAAACATGTATGTCTATTATAAAAAGTGTATGTCTATTATTATATTTAAAAAGTATATGGTTTGTTACCAAAAAAGACACTAGGATGTTCTGAAAATGGTGCAGATTCTAGGATTAAATAAACTGAATCCTATGTCCTCTACAGCTTCCTGAATCTGAACCTGCCCCTGACCATGTTACTTTTTTCTCCCTCCTTTCTTCTCTTCTGTCCATCTGTCTATCTCATAACATTTTTTGAAGAGAAAATGAGATAAAGTATATGAAATGCCAAGCACATGAAAGATACTGAATATATAAATGGATATTTTCAAATGCTTATAAAAATTATTTGGGAGCACTTTTCTCCCAGGGCTCCTGATGAAGCTGGAAGAAGGGTCAGAAATGCAAGAAGCAGAGCACAGCATTTGACAGACTCATGAACTGGAATATGACCTTCTTGTGAAATTATAGATTTACATCACAAAATATCAGTACTGTATTGAATGTAAATGTATGAAATGTCCCAATTAAAAGAAAATGTTTGCCAGACTGATAACAATAACAAAACTCAGCCCCATGTTGCTCATAAGGCTGGCAAGGACATGAGTAATGGGAACTCCCCGATACCACTAGTAGGAATGTAAAATTAAACAACCAATGTTGCAATCTGGTTTGGTGTTTTGTTTTAAGACTTAACATAAAACTATCCTTTGATGTAGCAGTTCCCATTCATTGGTATATACCAACAAAAATACACTTATTCATACTAGCAAAATACTAGAGAGAAAACAGACTATAGTGTTGGAAATTAGGATTATGCTTACCTTGGAAGTGGTTAAATGGGAATGTTCACTTCATGATAAATTATTGAGATGTATATTTATGGCGTATTGTTTTTTCAACATGTCCTTTATCTTCAACAAAACAACTTTAAAAACAGAATATAATGACTATAATGATTGTTGGCTTTATCAAACAATGCAAAACTAAAGTAAAAATATTATTGATAATTGATAAATCAGGGCCTATATTTTCAGTTGCTTGGTTGTAGTGGGGATAGTCTTTATTTGATTTTTATTTTATTTGATTGTCCTTATTTGATTTTTAGTCTGTTTTGTTTTCACAACAGAAAATCTCTGTTGCCCAATACAACATAACACATATGGACAACAGTTATATATAATTAAACGTGCAAGGAATGGTTCTGTACAACTACAGTTGGTTTGTGTAGCGCTAAGTGGCCTTTGGAGGAATGAAGCTATGGGTTAGGTGTCATTAGTAGCACACTAAAACTAATGGATTAAAACAGGCTAAACAGTAATTACCAGTGAGCATACATATAATCAGTGGAATTATACACATCATGTATGTCTTGCATATTGAAAAGCCACACATAGGCTGGCCATAGAGAATGCCTTGCAAGAAGAAATATTTTCAAATAAGCACTCAAAATGAGAACTTGTAAACTTAATTCTTTGGCATTAATAATTAAAAAACATTTTAAAAGATTAGTTTTATTTCATTAAAAATAGTTAATTTTAACTACCTGTTGTAAAAACCTGATCGTCTCCTTAAGGAAGTATTTTAGCTCTTCTTTTATAGGAATGGCCTTCTCACTTTTATTTCAAATTTGTACCTGTTCCCATTGCAATCCACAAAAAGCCTCAGGCTTGCAGATACTCTTATCAAACTTTGACTATTTCACTCTCGAAAACAACAAACATGTTCCCTTGTTTAAAAATTTAAAAAAAGCTCTGAAATCTGTGACTGCTAATAAGGATCTCTCCGACAGTCATTGTACAGGTAGCACACGTCTTTGATTTGAGAAAGCATCTGTGCTGAGTGGCCTGGTACTTGTGCAAAGTGCTCTTGTTCTGCTACTCTTCCCATCCCCAGGCAAGAAATGTACCTTAAAACTCTGTGGCTTCTGGATTCAATTCTCTGGATTTAAATAATTAATCTAATACTTATTTCAGCCTTGGGAAAAATATTCAATTTCCTATCTTTGGATTCTTCTATTTGTCAAATAAAAACAAATGCCTCAAAATTTGTTGTGAAATTTAAATAAGATAATCCATGAACTATACTTAATACAGAGACTGGCATTCAGTAAATACTAAATAAATGTTAGCTGTTACTGTGTTTTTATTATCTTCATTTATCTTTATCTATGCATACTATTATTTTGTGGCAGGTCTAATTTACCAAAATGAATATTTTACTCTGCACTGGTAGATTAACAAAACCTTTGGAATATTTTTCCTGAATTGACTAGGTAGTCCAACTAGTCAATTAAGATATATTTAAATTATTTGGCTGATAAACAAATCAGGATTTCACTGAACTGCAAATTCTGATAGGATGAGCACTGTGTTACTTATTTGCCTTCATTTATTCATTATTTAAAAAGTATTACTATGAATGACAAGGAATTCAGGAATAAATAAAGGTCAATTGTACAGCAAAAAATCTTACAATCTAGTGAGAGAAGCAATAGATATAATGTTTCTAATTTTATTTATGATGATAGAAATTGCTTTAAAAACCATAAATAGTATATGATGATCCTGCCATTTTATGTTTGGAGGAAGAGAATCTAAAACTGTAATTCATTATTTACAAAAGCTCTCCTGATTCTTCTCTAAACTTCACGGCCCTTGTGCTTCTGATTGCTGGAACCCTAACCTCCTGACTCACGTCTTTAGCTTTTCCATCTACTTCAGCCCTCCATTCTGCTTTGGAGTCATGGTATAGGCAGCATTTGCTACTTTTGTTTATTCAGTATCTATTTTCCCCATTTTCTGACAATGCCTTAGTTTAGAATGAAAAAGTAGAAACGTTCACTGCCCCGAAATCTGCTCATAACAGTAAGCCAACTAAGTGACTAAATTTCCAAAGTAGAATTGTCACTTCTGTATTATTTTTATGTTAATAAAATCTTTTTGTGGTAAAATGTACGTAACATAAAGTGTACCATTTTAACCATTTTTAAGTGCACAGTTCTGTGACATTAAGTACATTCACATTGCGCAATCATCATCACAATCCATCTCAAGAACTTTTTATCTTCCCCAACTCAAACTCTGTACCAAGTAAACATGAATTCCCCAATTCCTCCCCCAACCACCACCATTCTGCCTTCTGTCTATATGAACTTGATTAATCTAGGTACCTCATATAAGTGGAATCACACGATAAATGTCCTTTTGTGACTAGCTTATATCACTTAGCAAGGAGTCAAGCTTCATCTATGTTGTAGCATTTGTCAGATTTTCCTTCCTTTTTAAGCTTGAGTAATATTCCATTGTATATATCCCACATTTTGTTTATCCATTCATCTACGGACGCTTGAGGTCCTTCCACATTTTAGCTATTGTGAATAATTCTGCTATGAATATTGGTGTACAAACATATTTTTGAATCTCTACTTGCATTTTGGGGGGCATACATCCAGAAGTAGAATTGTTAGATCATGTGGTGATTCTATGTATCATTTTTTATGAACTGTCGTATCATTTTCTGCAATAGCTGCACTATTTTATATTGCCCCAAGCAATGTACAAGGGTGCCAATTTCTCCACATCCTCACCAACACTTGTTATTATCTGGGTTTTTAAAAATAATAATGATTTAATGGATACATAATAAAATATTTTTAATATAGGCAGAGACACGTAATTTTTACTTCATACATATAGATATAGAATATATATGTAAAATGACACATAAAGATAACAAAAATTAGTAAATCTACTTATTTTATTTATATTACATGCTAATGTTTTGATATTTTTAGAATTTGGTATTTGGTGGCTGTTATTGTTTTATATATTTGGTCTCATTTTTCATTTAAGGCTTTAGAGTCAATCTGTAGTTTGGATATGAAATAGAGTCATAGTCCCTTTTTAATTTCATGGAATACTAGAATAATAAATACTTTAAAATTCGTCTCTTGCCATTAATAATATGATTAGCTCACCTTGCAAACCTGTGGTTTTGACAGACCCAGCACAGGAAAAGACAACAGCAAAAAAGAGGCTTCTTATTCTTAGTTTTCCTCTTGGGCTTTTTGCTCTTCACCATAACTGCCTACAAACATTCTTAGCACATAATGTATAGATGGAGGTGTGTAGGTTCAAGAAGAAAAGATAATAAACATAATTTTATTAGCCTGTTATTTAACAAATATCTCTATTGACAGCAGGAAAAAAATGAATATGTAATTAGATCTTTACCTTCATGGAACACACGCATAAACTTGAGATTTGGAATGCCTGTAGCTGCGTGGACATTCACGGTGGTAATGCACATTCAATTGGGGTGAAAGGTTTTTTGCTAAAATGCTGTCTGGGGCTCATCTGTAACGCTGTGGCTGTGAGTGAAGTAAGAGCAAGATTCCTCAGATCCATTCCATGATAACACGTTTTTTAGTTCATAAATCCCAGCTCTCTCTCTGCTCACCCCTCAAAGGCTGTCTTTCACTTTCTCAACAAATTCACTGAGTGACACTAAACCACCCCATTTATCTTTCACCTGGCTCACCACTGATGTAATAAATCTATATGCCCCTTCTGAGAATTTGACACATGACGGCCCTCCCTCTTCTGCAATTGTAAGGTTCTCCAAGCCTCTTATGATTAGAATTTCTGATTATGCCAAAATCTATGCAGCAAAACCTACACAACAACTTACTAACTACTTTTAATTTCATTGTAAGTGGACTCTGCTTTTAAAAATGGCTTTAAATGGACCTCATCCTGGTGGGGCAATGCCACGTCCTTTTGGTGTTGGTAGCACACTCTTCCCTTTTCCCGATCATGTCCATTTATATTGAAAAGTTGTTTTAGCCCCAGGAAACCAGGCTTGTCTTTGAAATACTGTCTGCCTTGATTTCCTAGGGTTATTCTACATGTGTCTTAGTTCTAAAATACTAAATATGGTAATTATATAATAGCTATCCAGACTCAGAATTTAGGGATTGAGTAAAAACATGCTTTTCTATAGGGAAATAATGTCAACTTGAAATATAAGTTATTTGTCTGTTATATTTTATGAGTAAAACAAAGGTTACTTAGGTCTTGAGGACCTAAGTGCACTTTTTGGTAACAGGGCTAGTCAAATGACAGATGAGAATGAGATTTTTGTCCCTCCAACTATAATAATGTCCCCCAAGTACTCAAAGTTTTATGATTAATTTTCATTGGTTTTTATATAACTTGTTTGTATGATTTCTTGATGCTCTAAAGACACATTTCATTTTAAGTAATGTGAAGAGAGAAGAAAATAAATGATAATTCTAGCATGCAAAATGCCAGAATTCTAAAAAGTACATTTGTGACTTTATGTTTAAACCAATGTTAAGACTGAATATAGGTGCTTAAACTGATTTGAGTGTTATCTGTATTTATAATCAGAAGTATTTCCAACGTATTATATTGCTAAGTTAAAGATAATTTTTAAAAGAAACATTTTTCAATTTCTTAAAGAGATCAAGTTGGTTTACTTAAGGCATTTTTCTCTGTCCACGAGAAAAACCCTCTTATCTGAAATTTTTCTATTTTGCAGGAATGATGCTTTCCCTAACTTGAACCTTTGGCACTAACCACCATTCAATTTCCTGGAAAATAAGGATTTTTAATATGTGAGAACAGACTCCTGACCTATCTTAATCATAATATCTGAATTAATCAATGCCAAATGAAGGAAAAAAGGGAAAAATTCCATTCTTCCTCCAAATATCCAGATTGTAAGTAAGTATACATTAAGGATATCCTCATATACATGGGACACATTTGGTTACAGAACAGTACCTGTGAAGTATTATTGCTAATCATATAAGGACTCTCACAGACCAAGTAAGAGAGAATCAGAAATGTATCTCTAGTATCAAGGAGACTAAGCATGCTGTCAGATATTAGGGTACCAAAGTCAATGACACAGTCCCTGTTCTCACGAAGCTTGCATGAAGTACTGTATTAAGTTTACAATGTCTAGTGCATTTGGAGATATTAGTACCTAACACCATGATCCTGGATCAGAAACATCATTAAATAAATAGCATGTCTACCACATTGGTTTTACTATAGCCATAGTGAATTATGGATCCTGGTCTGAAGACACATACACATTTACATCTCCATATCTTCATACACATTTCCCCATAGATTATAGTGCTCCTATGTCTTTTTATCCATCTAGTTATTCCTTAAAGCAAAGTTAACTGTATACATAGTATTGCATAGAACTTTATAATGAAAATCATCATATTAAACTCTAATTACAAGTAAAACTTTTCTGTGATACTTTGTTTTAAAAATAGTCTGTTCATGAAAACAGACATGTAGACCATTAGAATAGAAAAGAGATCTCAGAAATAAATCTGTACATTTATGGTCAATTTACCTTTGACAAGGGTGCCAAGAATACACTATGTGGGAAAAGGACATTCTTTTCAACAAATGGTATTCAGAAAATTGGCTATCCACATGCAGAAGGACAAAATGGGATGCTTATCTCATGTTATATACAAAAATCAACTTTAAACGCATTAAAGACTTAAATGTGGGACCTAAGAATCCTAAAAGAAAAATAGGGAAAAGTTTTTTGAGAGTCGTCTGGGCAACGATTTTTTCAGATATGACCCCAAAAGCACAAGCAATAAAAGTAAAAATAGACAAATGGGATTATATCAAACTAAAAGCTTCTGCACAGCAAAGTAAATATTCAACAGAGTGAGGGACTACCTAAGGAATGGGAGAAAATATTTGTAAACCACACATCTTGGAAGGGGTTAATATTCAAAATATATAAGAAACTAAGACAACTTGATAGCAAGAAAACAAGTAACTTGATTTAAAAATGGACAAAGGACCTAAACATATATTTCTAAAAAAAAGACATACAAATGACCAATAGGTACATGAAAAAATGCTGACTACCACGAATTATCAGGGAAATGCAAACCAAAACACCAATGAGATATCACCTACCTGTTAGAATGGCTGTCATCAAAAGACAAAAGGTAACAGGTGTTGGCATGGATGTGGAGAAAAGGGAACCCTGCATACTGTTGGTGGGAGTATACATTAGTACAGCCATTATGGAAAACAGTATGGAGGTTCCTTAAAATACTAAAAATAGAACTACCATTTTGGTAAATTGACTTCTTTTTCTTGGGGTAGATACCCAGTAGTGGGATTGCTGGATTGAATAGTAGGTCTATTTTTAATTCTTTGAGAAATCTCCATACTGTTTTCCATAGGGTGTATACTAATTTGCAGTCCCACCAACAGCATATTAATGTTCCTTTCTCTCTACATCTGCACCAACATCTATTGATTTTGGACTTTTTAATAAAAGCCATCCTAACAGGAGTAAGGTGATATCTCATTGTACTTTAAATTTGCATTTCCCTGATGACTAGTGATGTTGAGCACATTTATAGCCCTGATTCAAGCCAACAAAAACATTTGTATCCCCTTAATATTTTTAAATTTAAAAAATTAGATCTACCATATGATCCAGCAATCCCACTTCCCTCATAGCCAGTGCCGATGCAATGCCCAGTACATATCTAAAGGAAATGACATCAGTTTGTTAAAGAATATTTGCACGCCTATGTTCACATCAATGGATGAATGAATAAAGAAAATATGATACGTACATACACACACACAATGGAATACTATTCAGCCTTAAATGTGTGACATTTATGTCATTTGTGACAACATTGATGAGCCTGGAGGACATTATGTTAAGTGAAATAAACTAGGCAGAGAAGGACAAATACTGCTACATGGTCTCACTTATATGTGGAATCTAAACAAGTCAAACTCATATGTAGAAGCAGAAGGTAGAATGGTGTTTGCCAGGGGCTGGGAGAGAAATAGGGGAAATAGGGAGATGATCAAAAGGTCTAAAAAATCTAGAAAAAATAAAATTAAATAGATAAAAAATGACACTCAGCCCCCAACACATATACACTAAGCTCCATGAGAGAAGGAATCTTAACTGTCTTGCTTTCCATCATCGCCAGTGCCTGATGCAATGCCTGGTGCAGAGGAAGTCATTATTATTTTTTTCATCAGTTCCTGCAGAAGAAAGGGATAGTTATTTTTTTTTTATTTTTTTTTTATTTTTTCATATTATGGGGGTACAAATATTGTTAGGGTTACATATGGGATAGTTATTTTTAATAAACACCAGGCTAGCGAGAAAGACAGAAATATAAGAAACCAAGTATAATACTAGATAACAAATATTCTTGGAAGACAGGTCCTAAAAAGACTAAAAGAGGTAGAAATATGTGTAAGGTTTCAACCAAAAGAGGAATGACCCATTTAACCTCCTGAGTGGTGGAATCAGTCAGTATTGACAGTGAGAGCTGGAATCCTCCTGGCGTCTTCACTGATGTTTTGTTTTGATTGAGTCCTCTTCATAAAGACTTCCTTACACATGCTCTCTCTGCTCCTACCCAGTGATCATCTCCTCTGACCCAAACCATCTTCACCAGTGTATTGGTAGAATGAACACAAATTAGGTTACTAAAACTAGGACACTAGGGAGCAACTTATTTATACTTTAAAAAGATGCTCTTAAGAGAAATAAAAATTAAGTCAGTGGGAGGTGTCTTCAGTATATATTACACTGACTAGAACAAAAGCAGAAGAAAAAAGTGCACTCAAGATCAAGGAAATGGCATATGTGAAAGCATGGAAGAATAATTGTGCTTACATCTGTAGGAGGCCATTCATGATGGGTGGAACAGAACACAGAAAGAAGTGTTAGGACACAAGGCTGGAAATACAAGCAGATGATGGAACAGGTGTTTGGGTTTCTTTCAGTTGCCAGTGGGAGCTGTTAAAAAGTTTAGCCATTGCAGTGAGGCAATCTGACTTGTGTTTTGAAAGAATAATATCTACTTTGTATATCCTGGAATATGTTAGGCAAAATATAGTTAATTAGATAGAATGACCAAAATTTGTTAGTACAACAAAGGGACTATAATTATTCAATAACATTTTTAACCAAATAAGTAACCTAGTATATGAAATTCTCCCACAACAAATATCCACACATTACATTTATATAATTTAAATGAACAAATTTAAAATCTTAAAAGCTGGAAAGGATTATTCTGTGATAAAAAGAAGGCAGAAACTATGTTCTATTTATTTTTGTTCTTTTTTTATCCAACCTTTATGCAGAATGAACATTCAGTTACTGACCACAACCTTCTTTTTTGGCTTCCATAACTGTAGCATTTCACCTGATATTTAGAATTGTCTATCACGTTCAGCATGATGTAAGGATTTCTAGACAACCTTGAACTTCAGGGCTCCTACTGATTTTCATAAGGTCTCAATAAAAATATGTCTGTAAAATATCACAGGGTGTCATCATTTATATGCCATTGTGCTGCATTCTTCTATAAAATGAGAATGTGGCTATTGACTAAATTAAAATTGATATAAATGCTGAGTATTATCTCCAGGATATTACAAAGCACATGGATGAGCACATATGCTTAATTTTAATTGTTCTAAAGATAGTATCTATATAAGATGCTTTCAGCCAAAAGTTGTTTTAAAATATCATTGAACATATTTACATGTTTTTCTTTTATATATTTAATTCTAGTATGAATTTCCTGCTAATCTATTGAGAAATTTGATACAGAGTAGCAATATCTAGACAGTTAATGCCTTAATTAAATAATCCTAGAATATCAGATTCAAACCCAACTACATTTCCAGTGTAGAAGTCTCTTTTACCACTTCCCTGATAGGATCATCTGAACTCTGCTTAGAAGGAAGAAATAAGAGATTCACTCTTTCACAATGTTGAACCTAGTGTTCTTCTGAGCATGTTGCATATTTAATCTTCTCATTCCCTTCTGAAGCAACACAGTCAGTCTGCCGCTTCTCCACCATAGTTCTTCAGATATTTAAAGGCAGCTGTTATGTCTTCCCTCAATTGGGAAGCAGCATCAGAAGAATACTTCAGGGGGGAGTTAACAAGGCTGTGAAGTAGAGGGACTCCCAGGAGAATGGAAATGAGCCTTCATGAAGAATGAGCAATTTTTGTTCCCTTCTTGGATGTGGAGGTAAAGGAGGTTAAAGATCTTTCAAAGCTCAGGGATTTTCATCCTCAAACGAGAAAAAAAGAATATATCATTAATAGAGATAGGAAGCTGGAAGCAAGTTGGAATAATGGTAAATTCTCTACCTCAAAAGAAGGGACAGAAGATTACATTAAACTCATTCTTCCCATGACTGGACTGACTGGGAGGCATTTAATTTTGAAGTAGAAACAGGAAACCCACCAGGTTTCCAGTCCTTATGTGGGTTTGTGTTGTGCTATACCCAAACTATTTCTTCTTGTATGACCTGAATCAAGTGTTCAGCATTATTCCAGTGTCAGAATTATCATAGGGCAAATTGTCATAGGGCAAATTGCCAAAGCAAAAATCTCCTTGAACAATGAACTCCAAGTTCCTAAGCAGAACAGCAAAACAAACATCTTGGGATTGTGTCTTGATTTTTAAAATCAGTTAACAGACTTTTACTCAGGTTCTATATTTTCTAAATTCTAAAACATGCTTGATTTGCAATTTCTGAGGGCTTAGAGAATCATCATGTTTTCCTGCCTAGATAGTTTCACATATTACACTAATCAGCCTCCCTGGGCCAATATAATTAGGCAAAATTAGTTTGTACCTTAATTTCTTGGCCTCCTCCCCTAGAGTCATTTTACTTTGAAGTTTATTATGTTGTTGCAGCATTAATATTTAAATAATAAATACAAAATTCCTAGGTGAATTCATTAAGAAATGTCTACAAAATATTCTTCAAAACCCATGATAAATGCAGTATACAGCACCATGCAAGGAAAGAGGCATCTGCTAACTCAGGCCTGGGGAACCCTAGAGTGACAAACATATAAGAAAAATTGTAAAACCATCTTAATACTTATTAGGAATGATCTTGCTGAATTTCTTTTGTGTTTATAGTTAACAATAATGTACTGTACATTAAAAAATTTCTTAAGAGGGTAGATAACATGCTATATATGTGTGCTTTTTCACCACAACAAAATAAGAGTAAAAGAAAAAAAAAGCCCCATGACTGCTTCCCACAAGCCCTCCTTAATACAGCATATAAGGCTCTTCA